GGCGTCCCCATGCCTTTCTTGGCATGTTTGCCGGCAGACGGGTGGCCCGTCCGGCCGGTTCAGGGACGTAGACGGCGCCGAGGCCATGTCGGCCGAGGAGGCGGACCAGCGCGTGCGCGGTCTGTACCGGCGGCTGCGCGGCGCCGACCACTATCGCTCGCTGCCGGCGCTGGCCGCCGAGCCGTCGCCGCCGGCGCCGGTCGAGCCGGGCACGCAGGTCACCGAGCACTGGCGGATCCGCCGGCCGATCAACCACTTCGACGCCGAGATGACGGTGGCGGCCATCTGTGACGAGCTGCGCGCCCGACTGCTGGCTCAGGACGAGTGTCTGGACGAGCCGCTCCGCTCCGACCTACAGAAGTGAGCGTCGGGATGGCGGTGGGGGGGGGGGGGGGGGGGGGGGGAAGCCCAAAAGCGCCACGCGAATTGCTGCCGGTCGTCAGGGCAAGCCTTTGAGTCCTCGGGCGCTGAATGGGTGTTGACGCGTGATCTATAAACGAGTCTGGGATGGGGCAATTTTGCCGGAGGATCTGTCAACTTCGGGCTCGATGCCAGGAAGCTGGACCAATTTGAAATCAGGGCGCCGAAGAACTGCTCTAAAGGTGTTGAAAACTTTCCCAGAAGTGATAAGCTTGCATTGTCGTAAGTTGGCATGCGGCAGCAAAACCTTGTCATCTTATGCCACTCTCTTTATGGACAGAAGATAAAAAGTACCTTGTTTCCGGTGGTGTCAGCCAGTCCTCGACATTGCGTTCCTCTGCAATGCGTCGAACCTGCCAGACGCATCAGGCAGCGGGGACAAGCACAATGGTCGTATACCTCCGATCCACATCGTCACGCCGGCCACGTGCGGCCGTGAGCGTAAAGAGCGGGTGCCACGCGCGTGCGGGCGAGTTACAGCCAACGGTAACGGCGTCGACTGTCGGGATGCGGCGTCCCCGGGCCGTGTGGCGCGTTACTTGCCACGCCCGTCGCTAACGAGCGGACGGAGGTCGGGCCGGGCTGCACCTGTTGGTAACGCCAGCGCCTCTGACGGCCGGTGTTGTCCCTGCTCGTCAGGTACGTGGACTTCATCGGCGCGGCCTGCCTGGACGCCGAGGACGAGCAGATGAAGCGCACGATGGCCGAGAAGGTGATGCGCCTGCTGACGCAGCGCCAGACGGCCGATTGTGCCCCCTCCAGCCGCGGTGAGGCGCCGACGGGTGACGAGTGGGGACACTGGAGCGGGCAGCGGACGGGCGACCGCGACCGCCGTCGTGACGGTCCGGCCAGGGCGGCGGTGTGATGGGATGAGCTGGCGGAAGACCGCTCAACCGTCCGCTGACACTGCCTGGCCCTCGCCCCACGTCAGACCCAGGGAAGACTGTCAGAGGCTCGGCCGCTCGGGTGTCTGACCGCTCAACCGTCCGCTGACACTGCTTGACCCTCGCCCCACGTCAGACCCAGGGAAGGCTGTCAGAGGCTCGGCCGCTCGGGTGTCTGACCACTCAACCGTCCGCTGACACTGCCTGGCCCTCGCCCCACGTCAGACCCAGGGAACCCAGGGAAGACTGTCAGAGACCCGGTCGCTCGGGTGTTTTTAAATGGTTACACCGGTCAGGTGTCTGATCGTTTCGCCCGACCTCTGGACTACCGCTGCAGAGGCTCTGACGGGCCCGGGTGGAGGTCTGTCCCACTGCCTCCGCCGAACCTCCTGTTCCGGGTCTGGGGCCGGCCTCGGATTGGTGCGGGAATGTGGCACCCCTTCGAGATGTTTACTCAGGCACTTAGTCGCACAGACAGGGTAGCCGGGTAGGGTGGGCACGTGATATAGTGTATGGGAGTAGTATGCTGCTCAGATGCCGACGAGCGGAGGTGGACAGTGCTGGTCTACTGAAGCGTTTGTCGAAAATTTATGTCTTTGTGTGTGACCCGTTGGATAATTTTACCAGTTGTCTCATGAGGCACGTTTTCGGCGAAGCAAATGCAATTTGCACTTTTGTAGCAGCGCAAGTCCAATGTGCCGTGGGACCCTGCTCTAAATTGCCAAACAGCTGTCGAACCGTCTGGGCTGGGTTGGGCTGGTCTCCGCTGGGCCGTCAAACTGGCTCTACGGCAAATGCTGTCAGCGTCCGCTGGGGATGTGTGCACGTGGCAGCGCCAGGCTGCCGAATCTCACCGACTGAAGCTGCCGGATTGGCGGAGGGTCCGAGCGGGAGCGGGAGCGGGAGCGGAGCCCCACCCTCGCCATCCGCTGCTGCTCCGCCTGCTGCTGGTGATGGCCGCTGCCCAGTGGCGCGCCGCGCTCGGCCGCCCCCGCAGTGACCCACGCACAGTACCCCCCGCGGCTGGATCGATCCCGACGCCTCGCCTCGTCGCAGCCCGCCCGAGCCCGCTGTGCGTCCGCCCGCACCCCTCACGGCACGGCACGGCCCTCTGGGCGCGCCATCGACCACGCTTCCTCAGCTGAAGGCGCCGGCGCCGCGCGTCCGGTGCTGCTCGTGAGGAGCGGCGGCTCGTGCTCAGGCCGCGGCCGCCACGGACCGTCCGGGCAGGGGGCGGGTGCTGGGCCTATGCGCCAGGGGCTGGGATTGCTGTCGGGTCTGTTGTGCTGCTGTGAACTGGTTAGGTCAGCTTGTGGGCTCGGTGAGTTTGCGTGCTCTCGCGGTTTTTGCGAGTTCCTGCTACGGTTCCCTGATGTCTTTTCTCCCCGCTTCCGGAATTGGCGCGGCCGACATAAGTGAATTGCGGAAACAGTATCAGCTTTGAACCATTATTATTAAGGCTCCTGAATTACAGCCATTAACACCTTTCAGTGATCAGCTTTACGCACTGCTTTTTTTGGCCGCGTTTGATGTTTGAAAAACGTTACTGAAATTTTAGAATGCTTGACGTTAGCTCGTCATTCATTGGTGTATCAGGGCTGCCATGTGGTTGTCTTTCATCCCACTCCTTTTGGACGTGCCTCTCTTACTCTGGCCCATTTCCTCTCCCTCATTCTCTCCAGCCTCCTGCCGTTCTCCGTCGGTCATCACGCGACATCTTCAGCAGCACGCAGCGCCCTGCGTATCAGTGTCCGCAACTGCACACCGTATGCCCCTGCCGACCATGCACACTGTGTCACGGGGCCTCAGGTACCTGCCAGCAGCCGTCCCTGCTGACCGTGCCCTCTGTGTCACGGGGCCTCAGGTACCTGTCAGGAGCTGTCCCCTCCGACCACACACTGTGTCACGGGGCCTCAGGTACCTGTCAGGAGCTGACGGGTACCAGCCGTCCCCGCTAACCGTACACACTGTGTCACGGGGCCTCAGGTACCTATCAGGAGCTGACAGGTACCAGCCGTTCCTGCTGACCGTACACGCTGTGTCACGGGACCTCAGGTACCTGACAGGACCTGACAGATACCAGCCGTCCCTGCTGACCATACACGCTGTGGCCCGGGGCCTCAGGTACCTGCCAGCAGCCGTCCCTGCTGACCGTGCCTTCTGTGTCCGGGGCCTCAGGTACCTGACAGGAGCTGTCCCCTGCTGACCATGCAAACTGTGTTCCGGTGCCTCAAATACATGACAGGAGCTGTCCCTGCTGACCGTGCCCTCTGTGTTCGGGGCCTCTGGTACCTGGCAGGAGGCGTCTCCTGCTGACCGTACACGCTGTGTCCCGGGACTCAGGTACCTGACAGGAGCCATCCCTGCTGACCGTGCCCTCTGTGTCCGGGGCCCCAGGTACCTGGCAGGAGCGTTCGGAGCCGAGCGTGCTGTCTCGGGCCCGGTCGGCCAGCTCCAGCCGTGATCGCCGCTCGGTCGGCGACCCCAGGTAACGTGCCGTCGCCGCCGGTGGCCGAGGCTGGTTGTACCCCGCCGTAGTAGCGGTGACATTGGTCGGTGGCAGGCCCAAGTTAGGCGTTATCCCGATATCGCATATGGATATCCTTGTTATAAGCTACTGAGGTAAGCTGTAGTTTTATACTTGATGCTGCTCATATTCTGTATATGAACCCGCACTCGATGGACCGTCAACATATGATGACCTGATAATCAGCTGTTGGATACCTTTTACGACGACCTTGGTTGCCTGGAAGCACCTTTTTGCACCCTGTGTATTTGTACTAAACGATGTTTGTCACGCCGACAGCATCGTTTTCGTTATCACAAGTAAACGTGACCCTACGGCTAGAGTTGCGACATTTGTGGAACATGTTTGACGTAGCTTTGGCTTATTAGTGAAACCATTATTGTTGAACGGGCTGGCAGCCCGTTGGTGACATTTTGCAACAGTTTATTTTACTTGTACGCCGCATAGGTTAACGGAAATGTAGAACTGCGCAGCGCTGCTAGAGCTAGTGCACTTTGCTTCGCGTTTTAGTTAATCGCAGTCATACAACGACGAGCGAAGCTATATATCACCCTTGTCAACATTGGAATCTGGTCTAGAGGGTGATTTGGTCCATTTAGGCGTGACTAATGTTGGTAGTGCCTTACAACTTTCTGGAGCCGGAAGGGGTTTCCCCTTCGTTCCAAACTGCACTATCTGCTGCGGCAAGTGTTTGTAATCGGGCGTATCAGGGTCCGTTTGGTGATAACAGCCTGCCGGGATCCGCCGCGGCAGGGTTGCTCTTGGTGATGCCGGGATGCGGGGTTACCTTTGCACGATGGCCCGTTTGTCCGCGCTCACTCAGGGGTGCGGGACGGGCAGAGACTACGACGGCCGCCTGTCATGCAGCCGACTCTATGCACAGCACGCTCGGGCGAAACTTAAATTGGCTCGGAGGACACGACCCGCGGCTATTACGAAGGGCCACCAGCAGTCCGTCGGCGGTCTGCAGGGCCACCAGCAGTCCGTCGGCGGTCTGCAGGGCCACCAGCAGTCCGCCAGCGGTCTGCAGGGGCCACCTAGCAGTCGGTCGGCGGTCTGCAGGGCCACCAGCAGTCCGCCAGCGGTCCTGCAGGGCCACCAGCAGTCCGTCGGCCGGTCTACAGGGCCACCAGCAGTCCGCGGCTTGTGACTGGCTTCCCGGAAGCCGGCCATTGGGGGCTGGACTCCTTTTCCCGAGAAGTGGGACGTTGTTTGTGCGTGTTGTTTCCCGAAAGTGGTCAGTTTGTATGGTCAGTGGCCTTAGCTCGGGTGTTCGACGAACTGCACAGTGCTATAATGTTATGATCCAACACTTATTTCTTCGAGTTATGGGTAAAGCGGGGGCCGAATATAATAACTGGGGGAGAATCGGCGGTGCGAGACCATAACGTTGGTTTTGTGCGACTGTGGGTTGCGGATACGGCAGTAATGTTGAAATATGAAATGGAAAAGGTGGCAGGTGCTTGCGGTGTTCCTATTTCCCTCGTTTATATAGGTCTTGAGTTGGATATGAGGGATGTGTGGAGAGAAGAAGGTGAGGGACGCCCCACATTTTGATTTTAAATTGAATGGGTTTGATGATTTATTCAACCTGATGTAAATTTACAAACAGCGAGAGCGAAACGTTATGACCATTTATGCCACAAACCTTAAAAAACAATATTTGTGGGGCAGAGCTTCAGTACTTGCCAGTTATCTCTAAATTCTAACCTTAAATGCACAGACGAGAGCGCAGAGTAGTATGTTGTGCCCTTGGTTTAAAATTTTAGAGCAGCTACCAGCTGCTGACGAAAAGTGTCTTTGGTCAGGTTACACAGCTGCTTTTGGTCGTCGCAATAGACGTTGGGTGATGGCCTAAGCATGCTTGCTTCAAGTTTTATGTGTTGCTTTTTTGAAACTGTGAAGGAGAGTCCATAAACAACTGTGTTAATGTGCTCGGTTAATTAAAAACCTTGGTTGACGAAATCTCTCTTAAACGCCTGCGCCCACCTGCGCCTATGGAAAAAGACTCCTCTGTTGCCCACTTAACAGTGTTAATGACCTATACTTGTGTACAACGGCGTGTTTTACTCGGTAGGTGATTTTTGCTCGCTTGTTGAACAGCTTTCCTCAGTAAAATAGCGACGTAGTATGTGCTTGTGTCAGTACTGCCAGTCACTACGAGCGGACTTCGCTTGATGCTGGAGCTGTTTTATGTGTCAGCTAGTAATGTATATAGCAGGCAGTTCAAACGACCCACCGTTCCACTCCCTTAAAGCTTAACGTTGTGTGCAAGTTGTTTTCCTTCCTTTGCGTTACTTTCATGTATTTCTCCAGTCACTTTTTCATTGTTCCTTCGACAAAATGTTCCTGAAATGCTGAGAGATGAAATGTGCGTATCAGTACATAAAAACATATACCACGTGGAGGGGTAAGGCTGTTTATCACCACCTTTTGTGTCTTAGGATGAAGTATTGCTTTCAGAAAAAGAATACCATGAAAATGCCGGACTTAAGTCGCACAGTCTTACTGCAACGCCAACAACTTTGACTTGGTGTCTCCTAAGAATTTAAGGGCGAACTCATGTTAGTCAAAACTGACCTTCAGCTTCGGTCCGTAAGCGTGCACTGCGTTATTCAGAAGTGTGGACTTTAGGAACCGGGCCCTATTTGCTTGCTGTCTGTTAAGCATTTTGCTGTCACTTCGTGTTCCGTTTTCGTTGCGGCCGGCATCGAAGAATGATGACGTTTGCCGTCACCGCCACCTGGGGGAGCACGCGAGGCACCGGCCGGGCGCGGCGAAGCACTACTCGGGGGCGCGGGGAGGTGTCGCTCTGTCGGTCGGACTTCCGAGTCCCATCTGGCTCGATGGCGGGCCATCGGACTGTGTCGGCGGCCCGACTCCCTCCCTGGACACGCACCGGCGGCCGGCCCGGACACTCCCTCCCTGGACACGCACCGGCGGCCGGCCCGGACACTCCCTCCCTGGACACGCACCGGCGGCCGGCCCGGACACTCCCTCCCTGGACACGCACCGGCGGCCGGCCCGGTCACTCCCTCCCTGGACACGCACCGGCGGCCGGCCCGGTCACTCCCTCCCTGGACACGCACCGGCGGCCGGCCCGGTCACCTGCTGTGTGCCCCGGCCCGCCCTGCGACGGTCCCCTCCGGCGCCGACGGGCGGCGAGCCGCGCGCTGGTCTCACACGAGAGACGGCGCGCCGGCCCAGGTACGACCGGCGGCTGTTGTCGCCGCCAGCTGACGGACTCGGTGTGCGGTGACGGGGCGGACTCCCCCTGTGTCAACAGGCGCGGCTCGGGGGCCGAGGCGGGCGGGCAGCGCGAGCCCGGCGGCTGGCGTCGCCAGCTGACCCGCTCCGAGCGACGGCTGGCCGGCAGGACAGGTCAGCGGCCAGCCGGGCCGGGCTCCCCGCCGGCCGGCGGCGCTCCCGCACCGGCCAGCGTGTGCAGCACGCGCACGCCGGTCCCACCGCGCCAGCCATGGTGGCATTGTCACCTCAGCTCCGCCTTCATTGCCGCTCCGTTCCGTCACGTTTGAAAAAAATTTCAGATTGTTGGTTTCGTTCAGAAGTGACGCACTTTCTTATGCCCAGTGCTGTGAGTGCTGGCGTGATACATTTTGCGTTGCGTTTCAGATTCCGGCAACACACTTAGTTAGCATGAAGAGCGCGTTGCATGTGCTGCACTGTTTTCGTGGGCGACCTGTAGGTCCGCGACTGTGTGCTCAGGACGACAGCTGTGCGTGTTTCCTTACGGCTGCGGCCGTTTCGCATATGTAAGGTTACCGAAGCGCGTTTGTGTTTGTCAGCGGGCGAGTGGGACGACTCGGAGCTCTCGGAGACGACCGGCGCCTGGCTCAGCCACAACTACGGCCGCTCGCTGCTCGACAGACGCATGGTCAGCTGTGGCCTCATCAGCAATTACTTGTCGCCGTCAACAGAGTGCTTTGATGTATTGTTTTTCACACCATACTTTTGAAATGGCTGTAATATTGTGAGCTGTTGAGAAGCTCGCCCTCTGTTGTTTTTGTTTTATTCTCTGGTCGAATGGGAATGCTGATGGCCGGATGATGCTGGGTATTGTAGTGGCCAATGCTTATTCGTGGCAAAGCTAACGCGGTCTGCATGTTTTCAGTTGTAGTTTCGTATAGTGTTGATCACAAGCACCATCTCCCTGCGCTCTGCGCACAACCGCGTGGTCATGCTGTATTCGCCAATAACTTTCCCCTGCGCGTTTCCTGACTGACTGTCCCGTTCCCGCGCTCAGACGGACACCACCAGCTCCGACTACGACTTCAACACGATTCAGTCCCGGCAACGGCGCGTCGAGGACGCCACTGCCTCCTCGTTCGAGTACTACGACAACGACCCGCAACAAAGGTAGGGCCGGGCGGCTCGGAGCCGCCGGGCCGAACGGCACGGCCAGCCTTGGGACTCCCCTGACCGCCGGCCCGGGTCTCCCACACGCTGGTTGGAACCGACAAATCAAAACATGACTGGCAGTTCGCTTGAGCCCGTCACCGCTTGTGTCATATGGTGGCAGCGCTGGAATGTCCAAACGGGCCAGTGCAATCACCTGTGCCGGCCATAAAGCGAGCGCGTTGCTGCAGAGGTGGCTGGGGTCGACACGCGGTGTATGGCGGCCGAGCGCCTGACAGCCGCTGCTCCGGGGTAGAGGCGAGCCGGTCACGACAGGTCAATGGCCGGATCACTGGCAACCGTAGAGGCGTCGGCGGCTTTCGTGAGCGGGCGGGCGGCGGCGCGATGGACACGCCGCCGTCCGATACAGTTGTGCGGCCGTCGGTGTGACCGATGGCGAGGCGCCAGAAAACGGATGGGCTGGTGTCTCGAGCTGCGCTGATGGAGCAGCGCAGCTCGCTACCCCGTCGGCTGCCTTCAACGCCGCCGGTATTGCAGCCCGAGGTTGTGCTGGTGACATCGGGGCTCACGCGGTAGGCTCGTGTGGCG